CTAACAAACGTTAACATTAGTTGATTTTAATTTATGTACATATTGTTTCCTAAAAAGATTAAGTAAAACAATATTCAATTTTTGTGAAAAGTGTTAAGTGAGCAGCACTTCTAGGATAAGTTTTCATTTTTCACTGATATTTTTATGATAATTGTGACAGCTACAATAATAATAGACTAAATATATTTTAAAAATAAAAATATTTGTTGGCTCACCATTAACTAAATATTGTAACTTAGTTTAGCAATAATATCTGTAATAGTGCATTCAAGTTTAAAAATAAATCATATACATTTCTTAAAAGAGAATGTAAATTATGTGTGATATTATTAAAATATTCTGTCACTGCTGGGCTCCTCTGAATATGAACGCTTCTGTCACTTAGTCAGTTTTTTGTCATTGCAATGGCACCTGACAAGAGTGTTATTATATATCAGGGAAATTAGCAGTCAATTCTTGAAGCTGATGTGTGATGTCTTGGGTAAGTGTAGGGATCTGAGTGACTTTGACAAAATTGTGATGGCTAGACAGGTTCAGAGTGCTCATGCTGATGCCTGACACACTGAAAGGGCATGTAACTGTAAGAACTGGACCAAAGAGCAATACAGGAAGGTGGCCTGGTCTGATGGATCACGATTTCTGTTACATCATGTGGGCAGCTCAGTGTGTTTGTGTCGTTTACCTAGCTGGGGAAGAGATGGCACCAGAATGCAATATGGGAAGAAGGCAAGCCAGCAGAGGCAGCGTGATACTCTGGGCAATGTTCTGCTGGGAAGCTTTGGGTCCTGGCAACCATGCAGATGAAACTTTGACACATACCACCATTGTTGTAGACCAGCTCTTCATGGCAACAGTATTCCTCTATGGCAGTGGCCTATTTCACCAGGATATGGTGCCCTATTACACTGCAAAAATTATCCACAGGGATGTTCATATTCTCTGGTTTCAAACAGAGGGAGCCATGAATTTAAAATTTTCACGTTTCAGAATAAGCTGCTGTTGACTGTTGGCATGGGACCAGATGTAGTGGCAGTTTTAAACAGATATACTGTTTATGTATGTCTTTGAAGCCCTTCCTTATATAATAACGTGTCTAACTGATACATATTTCAATAAAAATCCAAGTCTACAGTTTGGATGTATTCTTTAAAACTACTGCATTTATCTAGTCTATGGCCAGCCTGACCTATACCCCAGCCCACCCAGTTACTTTTTTGTGTTAAACTGCAGTCTGTACATCAAATCACTTGACAGTAGCACCACAACTAAATGAATAGCATGAAAAAATATTCGAAAAACATCAGATCTGTAGGTTTGTGCACTAATTATTTTACGTACTGAGAAATACTGAAAGGAATTGATGATGGGGGACATGGGGCTGACTAATTTTCAGAAACAAAATGCTACAGATGACCAAATGTTTATTCTTTCTGTTTTATCATTGCTTCCATTCTTCTACTGCTGATGCAGCTTGTTCCACTAGCCTACAGTAATGTGCAGCTCTTACAAAGAGGAGCTGTTTTTGTTTCATGGGGAAACAAAACCAGTCAGAGTGCTCTAAAAGCAAAATATCAGGCTCAAAACTCAACCAGAAGATGCAAACTGGACAATATATTTAAAATTTTGTATATATGTATATATACACCCTTAACTCTATATATTAAGGGTGCACATACATTAGGATCAGGTAGGCCAATGCCTTTGGCATATTGCAAAAAAACAACCCTATTTTTTCAGTGTAGTGTGGCACATCAATCCCCTCCCCCACACTTCCTCATCCTCATGCTCTGCTAAACTCTGAGGTTAGGGTTGTCTAGACAACGAGCAGCATATCTCACCCAGAGCAGGCAAGAAGTTTCTGCTGCAGCTAGCGATGCACTACCAACAGGCTCTGAGCAGTTTCCTGTCAGCAAAGTGAAAATAACACATCAGAACAGCCTCTATAATCAAACATCTTTTGCTCAATGCCTCCTTATATCTGAGAACCATTATTATTACTGCCCATAAATAGACGTATAATAAACACCCATATATAAATATATAAACACCAAATAAAGAAAATTCCACAAACAATATAAATTAGTTTTTGTGACGACGATAAGTGTCTTAAAATTGTATGTCTTCTGTTGGTTCAAATGAAGTAAAATGACTTTCATATCATGGTTAATAAATAGTTATTAAAGTATAGCGTTTGTGAGAATGATAGCATGTGCCTTTATAAATCATAATGCATCAGTGATAAAGTGGTGTGGTGTTTCTCAGAAATACAAGTAGCTAAATGCGGTATGAAGTTTTGCCGTTATCATCTGTCATACTGAAACATCTGCAAGTACAAACATTAAAAATGATTGACATGGGTAAAGGTAGCTGTGCATTGAAGCATGTAGACATGCTAGCCATGCTTGGGTTGCAATACATCTGCTGTGTAAGTATAATATACTGCTTATAGGCTTTTTAAATGCTGATGAGTTACAATTTAATAATGTCCCACGGTTCCTGGTTACAATGCAAGACTATGCTTTATTTTTTTAAGACAACTGTCCAAGACTCATTGAAATCCACAGTAGTGCATATTCAGAGGGTACCAAATCTGTCTCAGTTTGTTAGACTCAAAGATAGTGTAGGGCAATTTTGAGTGGGAGTTCATGGGATATATTAGAAAAGAATGGAAAACACCATGTTCAGTGGATGGCCGCTTCTGCCAACCTTATTGTAAACACTTCATGCATCTCACTGCTTCAGTTTAACATTAAATAGTTTTGTCTGTGTCCGTTTTGTCATTGTGTCTGAAATAATCTTTCATGTTATTACAACAGTTACATACTCTGACCTTATATAGATTTGATCAAAACCCAATTCTTTACTCACAATGGAAAGGGGTACATCTATTGATTTAGCAGATTATTTTATCAGTCCCTGAAGCAAGCTGGGTTTATGGGCCTTACTCAAGGTTAAATTATGCTGCTGACCATGAGATTTGAACCTGAACTCTTTCAATCACTGGCATACAGTTTTAACTGACTGAGCTACACACTTCCACAAGTGTTTTGGCTTATGCTGCTTGTGTGTGTCTTCCAAACTATCATTCCACCTTCCATATCACTTCTACAGGGTCATGGTGACTATCATGAACCACTATTATTAAACCATTATGAAGATTATTCTAACTAACAAGCTCTTGCACATGAACTTTTGATTAGAGAAGGTGAACTGAATGTAGCCTGATACAAAAGCATGCTCTGGAGGCACTGACCATCCTCACTCACAGTTCTTTCACAATTTTTATTTGACTTGTATTTTTGACCCATTAACGTCAATAAGGTTGGCAGAAGCAGCCATCCACTGAACATGGTGAACACCACACCCATCGGGTGTCTTTCGAGTGCAAGCGGGAGGCCTTCTTCCTGTGGTTTACATCACGTGGGTGACGATCAGCTAAAAAGGAGGAGATCTCTCTGTTACTGGCCTGTTTCTTTTACAACCTCAAGAGTGGAAGCCGGTAAGATTGTCGTGCAAGCTTTCCCTCATTGAAAAGTGATTAGCAAATAACTAAGAAATGCCTAAATTTCATATTTCAATATGCACTTATTTTTAATCTTCTTAAGGAAGATATAAGGTATTGTTTTTTAAAATTAAAATTAAATTTGAAATTTAATGATAAAAACATTAAATGAAACTAAGTTCATAATCTAAACTGTGACAATTTACTTTGACTTATTTTTACTTTGTGCTTAAAATGATTGTGCTTTCATGTTATATATCAGGTTTCTGGTCTTCGCCTGAAGTGAAGCGGAAATGTAGTAATATTAATGTAACTTATAAAATGTAACTACTTTTTCATCCTGGTACAAGCTGAATAGTACACATTTGTGTCAACATGTAAGGTCAGATTTTAAAATAGAGATATTCTATATTTATCAGCTTAAATACTTGTATCATTATTAAGTCAAAAAAGGTATAATACTCATGCACCACAAAATGGCTTCTTTGTACAAAGCAGGGTTTCATACTGTCTTCATCATCACTCAGGAAGTTTAATGTTTCTAATAAATGAATGCTATTATGTGAAAAATTAAGACTAGATATCAATGAAAGTACTCTGTCAACAGCTCTTCAATATAACTTAATTTGTCTTTTATAGTATTATTCCATACTTTCAATATTACAATAATTTTTTAATTTGTAAAATTTCCACTATGGTTGTGCCTGAATGTTTTTGAACCTGAATTGAACAGAACTGTTTGAAATGCTTCAGAATTTTTTAATACAGTGTTCTTATTAATGACTTGCACACTTTTTACTGGTAAAATGGTGATTCAAAAAGAAGCATCTTATATGAGAAATTCTATTAGCATTTTCTAAGTTGTTTAGTTTTATTTCATTTTCAGTCTGTGACTGAAGGTGGGGGGTATTAATGGAGAGATGATTTGGAGAGTGAATGTAACTCAAGAGTGTGGCCCAAGAAATGAACGTCGCCACCTGGTGGAAGAAGACCCTGGAGATACAGTGCAGTCATCCATAAAGTAGAAAGCAGTACTAAACTCCGCTGCACAGTGTAGTGTTTCCTACTTTATGGATGAGTGTACTGTTGGCTTCTGTGGAATCCGGACCAGGAAACAAAGATCAGACAGGCAGCTCAATCTGTAACATGTGCTGTTAATAAACCCAAGGAAATTCGTTTGTGTTTATTAGTGACAATAATTTTCTGTCATTTGTTGTGCTAAATTTTCCTTTATGCAATTAATATGAATTTTTATATTTGGTGTATTAAATAAAAATATAATCTGCAAAACCTTGTCATATTTGCATTTATTTTATATTTTAGGACACATTTTAATATTACAATTCTAATGTTAATTGTAAGCACTTAATTATATTTTTGGGTAACTTAAGGCTTTGTTCTCAAACTGGTGATAAACACTGATACAATACAACTACAAAACATCAATACTCATGCATCAAAATTACAAAGTTTTTTCTAATGTAATTGCGGTGTCCATTTAAACTGAAGAAAACTAAACTAAACTATGTTATCATACAACATTGCTGCATCATTGCCAACTCCACCCATCTCTTTGGATAATATCACATCATCAAATGAAAGCTGTATTGAAAAACAGCACAGTGTTTGCAAAAAATACACTTTATTCTTGCAAAAATAAAATTTTAATTAGTCGCAAAATATCCCTGGACCAGTTTTTGTGGCAAAAACTAAATGTCTACAAGTACATAGACAGTACGAAGGACACAGATACAGCTATATTCACAAATGAACCTCCATTTACAGAAATGATTTTTAAAGAACATATACTACTGATAGAGGAACAAAAACTCCCTAGTGACATGTTAGGTATCCGCTGAAACTAAAAAGTGAACACTCTTTTGCACTGTATGTCATTGAATGGATTAACCATACATACACATGGTAGCAAACTGTCAGCTCTTTTGCAGATGGTACGTATAAAACATAAGGCAGAAACCAGCATACATACATTCCCATCATACTCCATTAAGTGGGTGCATTAAGACTAACAATCATCACTTAAGGCTAAAATCCATTAGCTTTTTAAGCTTCAGCTTCTAAGCATCTAATACTGAGATACTAGTTTAAATAGTTCTGTAAAGCAGGGATGTGCCAGAGAAGCACAGATAGTACCCTCCTAGCGGTTACAGAAATTTACTGAGAAAGAGTTATCGAGAAGTAGTTCTTTTCATTAAGAAAAACTGTCAGCAAACCTTTAACAATATCACAATAAAATGATTTTCTTTTTCAGCCATACAAATATTCATTGTGTTCTCTTCACAGTTAGAAAAGCACCTCATATTGTCAGGAACTTGATTGTATAATGTTTTGCAAAGGTATTAGCTGCACATGCTGCAAAAGACTTAAAACGAGAATCAGGGCTGTCCAAATAATAGCATTGTATTTCCCAGAAACCCATGTCACCCCCCGCCTATCTAATACTTACTCCTCGCACACCCCCCAGCCTCTACAATTTCTAGATGTACTGGATGGACTAACTGGAGATATGAAAGCCAATAAATGTGTTTGTACTTGAATACCAGGAGTCCTAGTCCTTGCATGTACCTCTGAAACAACACCTGCTATTTACTGCACATTGCACTTACATGCCAGTTTACACAATCTTTTCCCACCAATTAGGTTTTTACCTGTATTTCTATGTTTTTATGTCCATGTCTTAAAGTGCCACTTATATTATGAATATGTCTTAATATTTACATTCTATTTAGTTTTCTTTTGCACTATGACCAGCATTTTCCGTGACATAACAGCTGTGTAGTCATTTAGTTACCAATTACATATCTATTTGCTATCAGAGTTTGTGTACCCAGAATGTCATCCAAAGACATAAATTGCATCAATCAGCCATTTCAGGCTCATATCACAAGACTCAGTGCCATTGTGTTTGGGTAACAAAAGATGCATGTACACTTTCGTTGACTTGCACAACTGCACTGACATGTCCATTTTGCAAATTAAAAAAATCAAACAAAATGAACATAGTTATTTATAGTCTACATGGTATACATGACAGATCAAAGTATTTGTAACTCTTGGCTCTATCACTTGCGAGCAGAAAAAAAAAATTATGTTGCGGACAGGAAATGGGAGTCCAATGTACACAATTTGGACTTACAGCTTCACCAAATTTGAGCCTGTTATTACACCGCTGACTAGGACTAGAGCTAAATGACATAACTAAAGTCTCCCACGGTAAATTTAGCTAAGTGAGGGCAGAGGGATTCACTTTTGATAAATTACACAGAATGAAAATATTGCAATATAACAAAAATATTATTACAAGCATACCTTATACATTCTCCCCACCTCTCCAAAAAAACTTGATAAAGTAAAATTCCCCCACAATAATTTGCACCCCAACATATTTTGCTGACCGGATATCAGACTACTACTGATAGAATTTGCGAAATGGGGAGGCCGGCGACAAAAAAAAACAAGAACAGCATAAACTATATTATAGAATATTCAGAAAATCATTTTGTGCCCCACAGGTCAAGAATTACTGACTTATATAATGTTCCTAGGAGGTCTGAAAAAAGATCCACGGAATAAGTTTACACGGCAGATAGCTGTGTTTACAAGTAGGTGGCTATAGCCTCCATTTCACCCTCTGCTGCAATTCCAATTTTAGGGTGATTTGGGGTCTATCATGGAAGATTTGCAGGTGTAGATTTTCATCCATATAATGTTCTTGTGAAGTGGTAATAAGATCCTTCAAAAATCAAATAGAGCAATTAGAGTAATAATAACAAACAGAGTTATCCTGTTCACTAGGTTAAGGTTCTTACTTTTGTCTTTCCTGTCAGTATGCACAGTTTTCGTGTGATTTGTCTCAAAATTTTAACAGTCTTAATCTATACAATGTGTCTACAAAGTTTGGAAAAGATCAGACAATTTCTGAGTTATCATACTGGCTGAGGCTTTTCTTTTCTTTGTCATCACTATGCAGCACTGCTTCAATTTTTGGCTAATCTGCTTCAAAATTTGATCACTTTAAGTTTGTCATCCATATCATGTGCATTTGAGAAACGTCAAATACTTTTAGAACTACGGTGTTCACAAGACCAAATGTATTCTACTGCTTCCATTTTCTTCCTTTGCTACCACGTTGCTTCATTTTTGGGGCAATTTGTTTGAAAATTAAATCACGTGTAGGTCTCCATCCATATAATGTTTGCATGAAGCAGTAAAGAGATCTATCACATACTTTTTGACCTATCATATTCACAATTTCAAATGTCATCTACTTTCACACTTCCCATTGCGGCCACTAAGTTTTAAATTTAATTTTTTTAAATTTTTCGGTGATCAGTTCCAGTTCAACACACAAACAACCCCCCTGCAAAGTTTGAAAAGATCCATCAAATAGTTTTTGAGTTATCACCTTAAAAAGAAAACATCTGAGGCACCCCAAAACTACCTGTCCCAGGAACACATTTAACAGCTTCTCACAGAAAAACAATGAGTGTTTAATTTCTTGACCTTAAAAATTCAACCCAGTACTGTAATCATAACAATGGACAATAGTCCCTGGAGATAAACAAGGCCATACTGGCAAAAGAGCACCCAAATGTGCAATATATGAAGATGTATGCTGTCCATAAGAACATAACAACATAAGAAATTTAAAAATGAGAGGAGGCCATTCGGCCCATCAAGCTCATTTGGGGAGAACTTAACTGGTTTGTCATATTGATAACTACTAGCTAGAGACTTCTTCATCTGAATCAAGTCCCTACAACTGATACTATCAGAAGACACAAAAACCAGAACAAAATTCCAGTTCACACAAAAACCTACATACTAACAAATCCATGGAGGACGGAGGCCCCAAGCACCCAAACCAGAGAATGTGCTTCAGGATCGAGGAGAGCCACTGAAAGCTGAAGAAGTTTTGCTTGAAATTACTCCATAGGGGTTCTGTCTTTCATAACCAATGGAAGGCTTTCCTGCAGTAGAGATAATGAACATGCAGGCAAAGTACGGGTTTTTGAGATTTTCTAACACTTTCTTATTCCATCTATTAAGCAAGGGTATACATGAGGAGAGTACAGCAATGACAAAGATTAGAAGGTTACCATAGACTATATGAAACTTAAGTTAGGATACCTAGCTTGCTAAATACAATGGCTCCGAACAGTAACACTTACATTTAATGCTTATAATGCACGGTCCTCCTGCATCCCTGTTATTTCCAAACAAAGGACAAACAACAAGGAAAAACATGTAAACGACTGAAAGAAACCCAGAAAAAACAATCTAAGTGATGGATTTAGTGGCCTAATGCAAATCAGTGAACATAAAGCTCTGAATATTTCAATAGTGACATGAAGCTTTGTATATCTGTGTATTGTGTTCCAACTAATTTGTCATAATTAGCCTTTCCCCACCCACATGGGGTGACCAGATAATTCATATCAAGGAGGACACTTTGAGCTACTTCAGGTTTTACAAACTTAAACTGAAAGGCACCTGTGCTTGGCTAAATAGATCACTTCTTCTTGCACTTTGACTGGTTTGTTTCCTTGATTGAACATTAGTGACACATGCATGAATATAGAGACTAACCAATCAGCACACAGCAAGAACTCAGTGCTTAAGTCAAATCCAGGTCCTTTTGAGTGAAATGGTAGTTTACAAATTCTGTCCTAGCTCAAAGTGTCCTATTTGACATGGATGATCTGGTCACCCTATATTCACAGTACCTAATTATCCCCCTTGATTATTTTAATGAATGTTTAGTGATATTGATTTTTTGGGACTGATACTTTGACTAGGCATAAAGAGTTTAAATACTTTGAGACATATCACTGTAAAAATAGTAGGCTCTAATGATTCGGCTGATCAGCATTTTCATTGATCTTTTACTGTTTGATGAAGGTTAGAGAAGTATAATTTCCCACAAATTAAATTTTAAGAACTTTGGCTCCTTTGAAATTGTAATGAAAATGTTTCTTCACCATTGGAACAATAAAGTGAATGGACTGTATTTAGCATTTATGTAGAAAACCAGACATTGTATTCAATGAATATACAAAGATAAATTTTTGCTCACCTTCCCTGCCCCCCAACACTCCTCAACCTCAGTCTCAGATACAGCTCGGAGGAAGTTAGATGGAACTAGGCCCCGTTGTCCATTCAGCTCTCCCTGAAACAGAGCTCCATGCTGAATACCCAATCATATTCTAGGTTGGTCAGTCCAATCACACACAAGTCTAGTCACACATTTTGGATTCCACACTCACATAGAAAAACCCATCACTGTCCAAATTGCCAAACACCAACACAGTGTCCCCTGCTTTGAAGGTCAGCTCAGCCTGCAGAGAAATACAGGCTGATTTGCATGATGGAGTAGTGTCTTTGTCAGCCCTGCCCATAGTGGTGTTAGTGGATGCTGATAGCTCCACCTAACAAAGCACATTTTATAATGCCGTTAGTCCTCAAAGCCATTACCTCAATATCAATGTTTGGAGAGCTTTGCCGAGGATCGTAATCGAAGATCGCCACCATCCTGCAGGGAGTTTGGTCCTTAAGCTTCATAGCTGAGTGACGGGAATCTATGTGCAATGACAAGTCAATCAGCCTGGTCCTTTTCACTGAAATGGTAGTTTACAAATTCTGGCTTAGCTCAAAGTGTCCTCCCTGACATGGATTATCTCACCTCAACGCGCAACTTAACACAGCACTGCCTCTGTGAACATATCCTGATTACATGCTTTATATGGATGGAATTTGTTTTGTATGATTTTTTTTGAAATACAGCTTCAGCTAAGAGTTTGTTTTTTAGTTTGGGAACAGGGTTGAAATTTTTAGGAAATTTATTTTAGGAAATTTAAAAATATTTTTTAAAGTGAATTCACGCAAGTATTATGATTGCCATATTTTCTTCATGCCAATATAGATCTTATCAAATGACATCTGAAATATGTGGACCTAATTTCTGTGTATTTGTAAGACACAGTGAGTTCTGCATATGGAGGCAGTGTCATGGTCTTGGATAGTTTTGGGTTTAGGGAGGAGGACCGGCCCAAATTAAGATGTTCCATTAAATGGTGGGTACAAAAGCAATGGAAGACTGACAAGCAAAATCCACAAAGAGTGTGAAATCCTCCCTCATGCTGAGGCAGAACATAAAAACACAGGTGAGCCTGCGCCCACAGCATTGCCCATGTCACATTTCACTTCCTGTGTTAAACAGTCGCCATTAGTCCTCAAAATAAAATTACCAATTTTTAATTCATTATTATGTGAAATCTCATCTTCTACACTGTAAAAACTGCCATGTGCCACATTTCAATTCATAAGGTTTTGCACTTCATAGCACCATTGTAATCAGGCTGGCACAGATTTTCTGACTGAAAAAGTTCAAGTGCTCAAAAGTAAGACTTCTGCAAAAAATAAAAAATTTCCCATTGCCACTAATGGCATAAAATAATGAAGGGGAGGCTACATAAAATTCCACTGGAAGATTCGAAAACAACAAGGTGGTGGACTTTACGTATATTTTTGGGTTTGTGTGTGTAAGAGAGACAGAGGTACCTGATTTCTCCATGGGGACCTCTGCAGGCAGAAAGCCACATTGCAGTAGCTGCTGTCTGCTCTCTTCATCCCCCACCTTAACCTCAGACACCATGTTGCATGGAATATAGCCAAAGTGGCCATTTGATTCTCCATAGTAAAAACCGTCAGCATCTTTATCTCCATATACCTAATGAAAATGCACAATCAATGTATCACATATTAACATGGGTTCTTAAAATTATTCCAGGGGCTGATTTACTACCATATACCAAAAGAATATTTGCATTTAGCTGATATTCTTATTCTTTTTATCTTTAAAGATAAGGACCTGTTACTTAGTTGAGAGACGATGTTTAAAACGAAGCAATTGTAAGTTCCAGAAGTTGTCCCACTTGGCTGCAGTCAGTTTATACTCCACCCCTGCAGACGCCGGTAGATCTTGCTCTACATCACGTCAGCTGCAGACTGATCTAAGCCTAAGTCGAACGCATCCACAGATTCGATTGCTTAGCCTTGGTATCCCAGATGTATAACTCGTATTTTTAACCTCGTATTTTTGCATGTAATATACATTAATAACAAATATTATTTATTATATAATATTATTATTTATATAATAATAACAGACATTATAATTGTATAATCATGTAATGTTTGTTAGAAATGTATATTAAAGCTGTTAAGGGATGTTAGGATGTTAAGGTGTACTTGCATGCTGCTTATGAATGTTCTGTGAATCCATTATAAATGCATTATGAAGGTGCACTGCATGTTCTATGAATGCATAATGAATGCATTATGAAGGTGGAGTTAATGTAAAGCATTATCGAAAAATATTATGTTGTATATTTTACCCAGATTGGTCTCATAGTAGTTATGATAATTTCTCAATACTTACAACTGCTAACCAAGAACTATACATAATCAATGATTTGAAAAAATATTACAAAAATCATATTTGGAGGGCAAAAAGTGCACAATTAAAAATAGCAAAATTATTCATAATTTAATTTGAGTAAATGAACTGCTAAGAAATATGCATTATTTTCCCTGTTCATGTATTACAGCAGAGTAGCAAACAGTGTTACCTGGATGATCTGTCCCTCCATGAAGGGCAGCTCTTCATCTGCGGTATCCGGGTTCGGGGACATGACAGCAGGTTCATAAGGAAATAAAGCCACAAAGATACGTGTAGGATTGTCTTCAAAGAGCCCATCCAGATCTCTCCCAGCTTCTGGGGCTGCCAGTCTCGCTCCATCTGGTTGTAAATAAATAAGTATGTCATCATGCCGCTTCAGACCTCACTGTTAGTGGCAGGTGTTTCTTTAAAGCAAGGACCTCTTATGAATTTTATGTCTAGAACTTTCATTACACATTTCCCTAGGTGTCGGTCATTAACTTCCAATAAGTCCTAAACTATCTGAGCGGCTTTCGAGCAGCTACATGTTCACTTGGCTTTATGGCAGAGAAATCATACAGGGACATTTTTTGGGCAGGAGAATATAACTTAATTGTAAGATGATTTGTGTCTAAATATGTATGTATCCAAATTTGTTCACAGATACGCTACCAAGATCAGTGCTTGAAGTGAGGAAAAACAGGTGCCGGTATTCCACTTGTTATTCAGCATCAGGAGCTGGTATTCCACTTGTTATTGCATCAGGAGCTGGTACTCCCTTGTTATTCAGTACCAGGAGCCGGTACTCCCCTTGTTATTCAGCATCAGGAGCCGGTACTCCCCTTGTTATTCAGCATCAGGAGCCGGTACTCCCCTTGATATTCAGCATCAGGAGCCGGTACTGCCCTTGTTATTCAGCATCAGGAGCCGGTACTGCCCTTGTTATTCAGCATCAGGACCCGATACTCCCCTTGTTATTCAGCATCAGGTGCCGGTACTGCCCTTGTTATTCAGCATCAGGACCCGATACTCCCCTTGTTATTCAGCATCAGGTGCCGGTACTGCCCTTGTTATTCAGCATCAGGCGCCGGTACGCCCTTGTTATTCAGCATCAGGCATCGG